CATGGGAGCTCTCACGGGGCCTAATCCAGGGAGCCAGGTGGGACACCCTCCCCTCAGCGCCGAGCAAGCCGGGAGAGGTGGGGCACAGCTAAGGAAGGGGCCAGGCCTGGAGGACAGGGTGGGCCTGGACTGAGAGGAGACTGCTGAGAGGGAAGCCTGCAGGTTCCATGTCCACCCAGTCGGGCTGGCTCCATGTGGTCAATAAGAGCTGGGAGTCGGGGTCAAAAAGTGACATGGCGGGACCAGCAGTTGGCATAACGGCTATGTCGCTGGACTCCCATGTAGTCGACCACGGTTTGAGTCCCAGACCCGGTGGCTTAGAACTCACGCCGGGTGCGTGTGCGTGCGTGCCCAAGATCCCGAGAGGAGAATGGAGAAGGGATTGTGGCGTGGCCATCCCCCCTGGGGGGTGATTTCCTATTTTCTATCTCTCTTTCTGGCGAGCGCATGCACCCTATAGCAAAAACCTCTCCAAAATAAAAAAATTGACGTGGTTAAAGCACTGACTCCCACATGGCCAACCATGGGTCGAGCACCAGATTCTGTGGTTTAAAAATCACATCGGGGGACTAGCAGGCAGTGTGGTGGGTAAGGGCGTTGGCCACTCCCACATGGCTGACCACAGTTCAAGTCCTGGACCTGGTGGCTTGCTTTCTCACTTTCCCTATCCCTCTGTCTCTCTGGTCAAATGAAATGAATGAATAAATAATTTAAAAATAAATAAAATGGCAACATTTGCAACCAGCTGGGACTTATATCACGGGCAGCTTTAAACAATGACCTTTTAAAAGTTATTTTGATGAATCCAACTTTTTATTTTTTGAGAGGTTTTTGCTATAGGGCGCCTGCGCTCTCCAGAAAGAGAGAGACAGAGAGATAGAAATTACCCCCTGGGGGGATGGCCACACCGCAATCCCTTCTCCTCGGGATCTTGAGCACACATGCACATGTGCCCGGCCTGAGTTTAAGCCGCCAGGTTCGGGACTCGAACCATGGTCAACTACATGGGAGTCCAGCGACATAGCCATTATGCCAACTGCTGGTCCCAGACGATGACTCTTTAAAAAAAAAAAAAAAAGAAATCACACCAGGTGTGTGTGGGGGGGTGGAGGGAGAACCCTAGAGGAGAATGGAGAAGGGAGTGCAGCATGGCCATCCCTCAGGGAAGCGATTTCTCCCTTTCCCACGTTTCTCTCTGGCAAGCACACGCGCCCAATGGCAAAACCTTTAAAGACACACACACAGCAGGTGCTCTGAGGCTGGCCCCGATGGCAGTGGTTAAAGGAGCCACATTCCACATGAAGTTTGGATCCTGGCCTTGGGGACAAAGAATGAACAGGCTGGGCACACGCAGGAGCACAGCCTTCCTGACGGTGGGGGACGGGGACGGACGGAGACAGGGCCTGGCAAATGGGGAGAAAGAAGAGCTGAGGCTCTGTCCACCGCCGGGCCTCAGTTTACCCTTCCCAAGGAGCAGAGCAGGGCTAAGTGCGCTTGCCTCCCGTGCGCCATGGGGCAGGTCCTCGGGGAGGGAGATGGGCTGTACCGAGGGAGAGACCAGGGTGGTGAGGCCTGTGCCTGGGGCAGGGAGAGGCTGCGAAGACCCCACACCGGAGCACAGGGAGACACTCGGAGAGGCCTGGCACGCACCCTCCTCCCCGCCCCCCAGGCCAGGCCTCTCCCCACTCAGCCCAATTTGGCGGCACCGTCCGTCCCCCTGTGGCACAGCTGCCCAAGGAGCTAGCAGGGCGGGTGAGGCCTGGTTGTAGACAGCGAGCACAACGGGGGAGCACGGGCGCCTCTGCCCTGGACCCACCCCACACGTGGGCAGGCCACGCTGGTCCCCCAGTACAGCCATGACCGCCAGGCAAGCACTGGCGCTGCAACCCCCCCCACAGGGGGCAGCACCGAGCTGTGGGGCTGCTGGCCAGCTGCTAGGTCCGACAGGGAGGGGCCCTGCCTGAGGGCGGGGTGGAGCCTGGACCCCAGCCCCGCCCTGGTCAGGCTCCTAAAAGCCCGCCCACCAGGAAGGGGCCGGTGTTGTCTCTCCAGGGGCAGGAGGAGGGCTGCAGACACGCACCGGCACCCTCACAGCGGACAGCAGCTCCCCAGCAGCTCCAGGGTGCAGCTCCAGGGCGCAGGCCTGGAAGGTGTGCAGGGTGAGTGTGGGCTCCTGGCTCTGAACTGTGGGCGGGGGAGGAACGAGGGGCCCCGCACTGGCCCGGTGGCCGGCCCCCACCTGGGAAGGACGAGTCCACAGAAGCCTATCTGCTGCCTGGTGGAGAAAGCAGCAGGGGATACTGCCACTCCCGGCCGGCCTGGTGACCACAGGAGAGGTCCCTGGAGGCTTCCCAGAGCCCTCAGCACCCTCTTCCCCGGGGCCCAGGATCTCATCAACGCAAGACGCCGCAGGCACCTGGGAGGTGAGTGCTCTACAGGGCAGACGGGGCAGAGGCCGGCCGGGCCAGGCCGAGGGGTGTTTGAGCAGGTGTCTCTGAGCAGACAGGAGCTAGGACGCCTAGGGCTGGGGTCCCCACGGTGGCAGCAGGTGCTGTTCCCCAGGGCTCCCACCTGCACCCGACTCAACAGAGCACGAGGGTCTGTGTGTGGCGGGAGGGGCTCCATGCAGCGTCCTCCGCCTGCCCCAGGCCCTGCTCAAGGCTGCAAGCAGTGGGGGGGCCCGGCATTCCCCACCTGGGGCAAAGAGGGGGGCTGGGAGAGCACAGGGCACAGGCCGGCGCCCCCGCTGCAGCCCCCCAGTCCCCTTCGTACTCACACCAACCCAGGTGTCCTTAGTAGGGCACAGGCTGGCGGGGGTGGGTGGGGGGTTCGGCCCCATCTGCAGCAGAACTGTGGGGTCCCGAGAGGGGGCGCGAGCAGGCCTGGGCCTGTTCCTCCCAGCGTCCCCTGAGGGCTGAAGGAGACCCAGCCCCTCCAGCCCTACCTCTGGGGACACTGGCCAGGAAAGAGGCACCCAAGGTCACCCAGAGGACAAGAGTCTTGAAAACCACCCCCAATCCCGCTTTCCTCCTCCCCCAGGACGCCAGCTGAGAGGACTGGGCGGCCCCTCACTCACCTTTGCAGACGGGATCCCGGCAGAAAGCGGCCTGCTGGGCCCAGCCTTTTATACCAGGCTGGAGCTCCAGGTGCGGCTGGGCCCCCCCCCAACACCCCCCGAGGC